TGACCAACAACGCTCCATAGAAAATGGACTTCCTCCCCAACTGCCAATTGCACATTTCCTTGTATGTAAGAAGCACGTCGAGGACAACATCAAAATGAAGATGGCAGCGCTAGGCATCCAGGACAAGGCCAACTATCTAATTGAGATATTTGGAGACCGAGCGTCCAGAGGTTTGATTGATTCAGAATCGAGAGAAGAATTCGAATCAAGGCTATTACAACTGAAGGACGTCTGGGAAAAGAGGCCAACTGGAAACGAGTTCTATACCTACTTCGTGGCTCACATTGCTGAGGACATGAAATGCAAGATGATCCTTCCAATTAGACGTGCAGCAGGTCTGGGTGACAAATTCTTCTACAACAACAGTATAGAAAGTATAAATTCTAGTTTGAAGAGTGAAGACGAACAGTCAAAACATGCCACTGCACCTGGAAAGCCATTTAAATGTTCCTATGGAGAATTTGTAAGCATTGCCAAAGAGTTTGTGAACCGATATCGACATAACGTTCATAGGGGAGTTGTTGGAGATGGGCCTTATAAACTGTCTCAAAATTATCAACATGCGGCAGTTACCAAAGATAAGTGGAAGAATATGACGAAGAAAGAGAAAGCAGCAAAAATCTCCATTGTTGATCCTGTAGGGTACAAGAAACTGCTCACGTTTGCTGCGACAGGTACAAGCACTAGTACGAAATCAGGTTCAAGTCGAACAACTCCTCCGAAAGCTCCTGTTCTTTCCTCCGTCAACTCTGAACTTAATCCATCAGAAAACTTGCCAGATTTCGAGTCAAGTGGCCTTCCTTAGTATCTGCGAGGATCGTGGGAAAAGGCAAGAGACATTATCAGCAAGAACGGAGTCACAAAAATCAACGATGGCACAAATGTTGTAGTTTCCATAACCAATCCCCGCAAACCCCACATAGTCAACTATGTTGGATCAAAGGTCACCTGTGACTGTGAAGGGTTTCAGAGAGAGACTCTCTGTGCGCATGTGATTGCAGCCTCGCACAAGGAAAACTTACTCCATAATGTTGTGTCATCGTGGAAACCAAGACTATCTGATCTTGTTAGCTCTTCAATTCCTAAGAAAGCAGGAAGAAAACCAAGCCCCAAGAGGTATCGTCCTAGCCGCGTGGCACAAGACAGGAATGTGCAGGATTTAGAGCAGACTTCTCCTACAGAGTACCAATTCCCTGAAGAGGAAAAGTTTACCGTTAGGTGGCTGGAAGGATCGAAAGTTACAACACGTTATGGATGCAAAAATAGATTCAGAAAGACAGCTAGTGATCCTGTACCTCCCGAACCGTACAACATCGTGTTATGCAGAAAGGAGATCAGGGCGTACACACCTAAAGGCACAACAGGCCTCAGATTCACTATTAAGCCCGAGAACACATATTTTCATCTTAAGAAGTCGTGTATCGAGAATGACACGTCTGAGAGGATCGGGCCTGAGAGCATTCGGATTACAGCAGACATAAAGGCCCAACTCAAGCCAATCCATTTAAATAAATTGAAAGAAGAATTTGGTGTCAATATTTGACGTTTACATCTGCTTTAATGCAAATATTGTCGGATCAACTTAGGTTTCTGGGAAACTGCCCACCTACCCATCCCCTAAGCCAACATTTTACCCTAAATGAGAAGTAAGTGTTAATGTTGTCTTAGGGAGGGGTAAGTGGGCAGCTTCCCAGAAACCCAAATTGATCCAAATTGTCTACTGTTTAGGTTGAGTTTTGCCCACTTGGGCCTACATGTACAAGTCTTGTACCTATGTTCGATAGTTTTGTTATGTGACGGTGTACCTTATTCTAAAGCGTCCTTGGTTTGTTAAACGTACGTTAACTAACAAATCTTTGAAGAACAGTGTGGAAAATAATTTTATCCTGTTTTGGTAGGGAAGAAATCAAGTTTGGAAGTTAAGTGCAGAATTTGTCAAGTTGTAAAATTAAGAAAAGGGGCTTTGAAAGTTTTAGAGCTCAAGCCTTTGCTTTTACAAGAGGACATGAAGCGCCATCTTGAGCAAAGTCATAAGAACAAACACAAGTACGAATTTGTACTGTATATCTAATCTAGAACGAAAAGATACCAAGAGATGCTTCGTTTGAAATTTATAGAAAAGTTCTTGTCATGTTAGCTACATTTTGTGATTTTCTAGGAAAGACATATTGTTCCTAAATATTTCTGCTTTTCATTTTTCATCTTAAAATAGCATTATTTTTTGTTGTTGTTCCAGTTAGGGATTTGTCCCTTGTGGGTTTGGATTATTAGAACATGAGAATTTGTGATATGCCTCGTTAATTGGATCGATTGATAAATTTTATTTCATTTTTTATAGTCTGGTAACTTTCATTTCGTATCGCCCCATGTAAGGGACGGTTCATTATTTATGAGGATGACCGGGTCGGGAAAAAAATAATAGCTTTCCTCTTTCTTTCTAAAGCCCGCCCAAAAGGCATTTTGTTTTTTCGTAGCCCGTTCAGTATTTGGGGTCAAATTTTTCAAAGCCCGTTCAAATTGAAGTGAGTACCTTGTGAAAATCATTCAATGTTTATTTACGACTAGAGCAACTAGTGCATGTTCGGATCAAATACACAACTGTTCGCCGTTCGAGTCAGCAAATGGCTATCAAACGAGTTCAGCGATTACAAACAATAATTTATTAACATCTGTGAAAAGTGCACGTTAACAAATGCCATCCAGCTTGAGGTGTTTCATCGTTTGCCAAATAAGTGAAAAAGTCCTAAATATATCTTTGAACACGGATATATAACCGTTCGTAAGAAGAAGCATTTGGAGTTTTCCAACCTCTCCAAATAGAACTTCTTGTGGAGTAACGTTTCCCTTGAAAGTTTTCGACATTTTTTTAAAGTTTGCACAAACACGTTTTTAAACACATTCGCGAGACGTTCACGAGGACATTCAAAACTTTGTTCCAGGTCTCTGTTGCAGCAGCAAGACATGGGAAGACTGGTAACTAATGTCCACAGGGCATGAAAAAATTAAACGGATTTATACTATAGTGTTCCATATTAGGTTCTGTTATAGCGAGCCGAATTAATTTGTTTCAAAAGTCAACTGTTTGCAGACTCAATCAAAACCATAAAATTCCTCTTCATCTGAATCGCTTTGAAAGACAGACCATATCTTGTCACTTTCATCGATTCTACAACGTTCCTGTTCGCGTGATGAAGCCGCGATCGTGTCTTGGTCTGAGTCAGGCCCACTTAACAATTCTGCAAGGACAATATCCTCCTCACTTTCATCGTCCCCTGAGCTGTCAATTTCCTCGCTGTCATCTTCCGTTCCACATTCCTTCGTCTCCTTGTCAGTAAACTCATTCGTATCTTCCTGTTGACCATGGTTCCCGCGAAGCACATGCAACGAGACTCTCTGTATCTTTTCAGCTTTGTTGCCGCTGCTTACGAGTTTGTAATGTTTAAGGTATTTATTCAGCTCAGATACAAGCAACTTTTTTAAACCTCCAGACTCTACGAGATCGTGCCAGGCATATTCTTCAAACGTTTTGGACATCATTTTACGCTTTTGTTCTGCGCGCCCCCTTGTTCTAATGCTGCTTTGTATTTTAAGATCTTCTAAATGGGCAATGTATGCCTTGATCAAGTGCGGCTGCATGGCAAATTTCTCCGAAAACTGCTGGAGCTCTTCTTCTGTTGTTAACATGCCGTCACTAAACATTTTCTTTATGTTTGCATGTGGCTGAAAATCATCGGGCACTCGCGGCTGCCCGTTTTCTGTGGTAGTTGGTGTGTCATTGACCGATTTAAAATGGGTAGGATTTTCAGGATCTGGCACAGGCTGGGGAATACGTTTCATGGGCACTGGACTTGTCCATCCTTTGTTAGAACAAAATGAACAACGTTCAGTGATGGCTGTAGAACAGTCACCGTACAAGTACTCCATAAAGAGCTCACCAATTTTGTAATGGGAATCGATGAATCGTAGAATTTTTCAATGTACGCACTTCCAGGGACACACGATTTCTTATTCTGAGTCGCAGATTGGTATTCCTTAAGATTACTCTTGTTGAAAAAAAAGTTGTCAGCTTCATTTTTTTCAGCAAGGAGAGCAGTTATGAAATCTCCTAACACTGGCGCGTCATCTACTCTCTCCCTGACCACCTCTGCCACTCGCCACGCATTTTTGGACATACGACTTTTCTCGTACACTTCAAACCCCTGTGGTGTCATTTCTGCAATCTCTTGATCGGTGAGATCATCAAACCGTTTATAAAAGTTCCAATCAATAGTGCCACCATCGACCACACTATCACCAATGGCAGAGTTCGTCCTTTCTGCTTCGTTTTGCCCGCTGTCTCCACGAGAGCGATGGACACGAATACGATAATCACTTTTGTGTACGCGCGCTAATTCGGCGTCCCGAAATTTCACCTCAAAATTTGATACCCCTACGCCTGGTCCGGCGTCAGTTAAATCTGCCCAATTGGGTTTTACAGGGGGCAATTTCAGTTCAACAATGTTGTCGAGGACAAAGTTGGCTTTTGGAAGAACATATTTCGTGAAGTCTTCCCAAAGGCTTTTTTTGACATTTCCTTGGGACAAAATTGCGACTGCAGCTGTAGAAAGATCTTTCTGTTTTTTAATCAGTTCATTTCCTTTCACTTTCTCGAATTCAGAACAGAGATGAGAGTTAATGGTCCACTGCAATTCTCATATTTCTCCTCGCCTTATCAAATACTGTAATCGATTATTTTCATACAAACGATGCTTGCAATTGTTATTGCCCCTTACCTTAAGTATGTCACCTTCTTCCGTCATGTCAGCATATAAGAAGACATCATCTTAGACAGCGGCACAAAGTGATCGAAAATATTTTGAATAAGAGTTTCATAGATCTTTAGCCTCAAAATCATCAGGAAAAACCAGCCGTACCCTTTCTGTTTCATTTGCCCAAGTGTTTCCTGATGAGTCAACATAGGCTTTGGGTCGAATAACAACAAAGTGTCTATCATTTTCCATTCACAATTTTTCTCCCTTGTCAATAGCAACTGGTTTTTGCGTAAAAACTTGATGGGTGGAGGACGTTATGTACATTTTACTTTCTGGCCAGTCATATTTAGGGAGTTTTCGAGCGTTTTCTTCAGCAGATAAGGTTAGAATCCGTGAGTTTCTAGTTTTAGCGAAACCCTCTGAGGTTCCAGGCCTCAAATGCGCTTTGTCGTCTATTGATCGCATAAAACTTAGTTCGCGGATATTGTCTGGTGTGGATGAGCCAAAAAAAGTAGTCTTTATATTACGAACATGCGCACGTTGGTAATGGGTGTTTTCGTTCATTTGGTCTTCTGTCTTTGGTGGTTTTTTAGTACAAAATAAAGCATGTCCCTTGTGCTTTGCGCTTTGTATGCTTCTTTTATCTCGTGGCCTCGAACGATTCCAAGCAGTAACCGCTGATGAGATCGGTGCTTTACCGCGTTTTTCCAGGTCATAGTTTGCAATGTTTAACAAATCGCGGACCTTTACCCTTCTGTTGGTAAACATTACAGTTTCTTTGCGCCGACCATGATACGTTGCCTTTGATTCGATAGCTTTTGCAATAAACTCTTCACAAGCTTCGTCGACTTTTTCATTAGCCCCTGCTCCTAGGTGTCTTCTTCAAGAAGTTTGGTAGCTGTTCTTTTCTGCATCTGCTGAAGTCTCTGCTGTGAATATTTAGTCTCGCTGAGTTGGAGATTATGGAGCATTTTCTTTGCTTTTTCTGCATTTTCAATCCTGTCTTCCAATTCCTTCAAACGTTCACTAGTCCAAGTATTTCTCTTTTTGGCATGGAGATCTTTCATGGAGACAATTTCCTGGGCAAGGTGTTTCACTTTAGAATCAATTCTCAAATTGACCATCTCTTTTGCTGCTAATTTTGCGTACTCACATTCTTGCACTCCATTCACAATCACTTTACTAGCACTGCGAACACTGTTTGCATCCAAACCGAGATTTTCTAGTTCAGAGTTCGATCTAGACAAGCTAAGGAGTACACGCGCACATTTGCGATCCCATTCAGTATCCATCGACTCTAAAATCGCACTTGTGTTGCTAGCGTTTAGTGTAAGGCCCTTGTTTTCATCGACAATATCATCACTTGGTCGGTTGTGGTGTAAAAGTAACCACTGCAGCAAAGATTCTGTATGATGACTTCCATCAGGACGAATAGCAACAACATGAAAGTGATTAGGTTTGAACAAAACGTAAACGGGAAGCCCGTGCACAGGATGAAGAAGATGATCTCGAAATTCTAGCTTTCCTGCCGACGTGTCCTTAGAATATGATTGATGGCCATCATAGGTTTCGAATGCTTCTTCAAAACTGATTGGGCTTTCTACAACAATCAAGAGTTTAAGAAGTTCCAAGAGACCCTTGTATTTATCCACTTTCTGCTGATTTGGCTACTTTTGCCGACTATATCTCTGAAGTTCATTGACAAGAAATTCCATGTTGGCACTTGGGCCAAGATCCTGTAATGATTTTCTTAAGTAACCACCCTCAGAGGTTTCTTCGATTTTGCTTTGTTTGGCAGAGCGAGTTGGCCTGGTATCCGTACTCGAGAAGGAGCTCCCAGTTTTTTCTTTTATGGGGTCATTAGTGCAGAATGCTCGACGTTTTTGCACTACCAAAACCACAGAAAAAGTCGCCACAGCTCCCCAAAATACGTTTCTACCCGTATCAGTGCTTTGCCAAGAATGATCATCTCTATACTGAGATTTTTCCTCATAGAACCATAAACTACCACTAGACGTTTTCGCTGGTTGCATAAACGTGCGATTGATCGCTCTGAAGTAGCACCTAGCAATACGGGAAAACATTCGCAACACCATGTTGTTTTTAAACTGTTATCAGAAAACTTTCACTTGCGTACATATTAACACATTGCATGGGATCAGGCAAATCTGACACGTAGTAACAAAAACTTGTTTGGTTGTTCAGATATCAAACGTTACACGATTTGCTGTCAAACTTCAAAGTTTACATGTCAGAAAGTGTTTCCCGCGAGCGGTCAAGATGACTAGCGACTGGCGGTAACTAGTCATTTTGTCGCCAAACACCCACTCACGCGAACCGTTGTCTGCATTCTTTCAAAAGACTGAAGTTTGACAACCCTAAACCATGTTTTTCCGCACCATGTGTTCACGCTGTTGATAGATGGCTGTGTGTATGTAAAGTCAAACGCAGAATTCAGAAAGTCTTTGGTTAGCAAACTGCGATGAAAGCCTTGAAACGTTTTTGAGCCGTTTAAATTTGTCTCAGTACCTCGATAATTTTCGAGAAGCAGGATTTGATGATCTGGAGACAGTAGTTACTCTGTCCGAGGAAGAAATAGAGAAACATGTGGGAATTGTGCTACCAGGCCACAAGTGTAAACTTGTTTTAAACTTTGAGAAGCTCCGTCAGCCAGCTCATTACAACTTCACGCCGATTTAAGTGTGTACCCCAAATTTTGGGGTTATCAAGTATTCATATATTCAGGCTATTCTTGCCATTGTCGATTACCTTCCGAAGAATCCACGAGCGGAATTCCTTTGATTTAGGTGCGATATGTCTCTTTTGTTTCGAATTTTGTTGCTTGATTGACTTTTTAATCCCCATTGTTACCTGATGAGTACTGGACTTGTCCATCCTTTGTTAGAACAAAATGAACAACGTTCAGTGATGGCTGTAGAACAGTCACCGTACAAGTACTCCATAAAGAGCTCACCAATTTTGTAATGGGAATCGATGAATCGTAGAATTTTTCAATGTACGCACTTCCAGGGACACACGATTTCTTATTCTGAGTCGCAGATTGGTATTCCTTAAGATTACTCTTGTTGAAAAAAAAGTTGTCAGCTTCATTTTTTTCAGCAAGGAGAGCAGTTATGAAATCTCCTAACACTGGCGCGTCATCTACTCTCTCCCTGACCACCTCTGCCACTCGCCACGCATTTTTGGACATACGACTTTTCTCGTACACTTCAAACCCCTGTGGTGTCATTTCTGCAATCTCTTGATCGGTGAGATCATCAAACCGTTTATAAAAGTTCCAATCAATAGTGCCACCATCGACCACACTATCACCAATGGCAGAGTTCGTCCTTTCTGCTTCGTTTTGCCCGCTGTCTCCACGAGAGCGATGGACACGAATACGATAATCACTTTTGTGTACGCGCGCTAATTCGGCGTCCCGAAATTTCACCTCAAAATTTGATACCCCTACGCCTGGTCCGGCGTCAGTTAAATCTGCCCAATTGGGTTTTACAGGGGGCAATTTCAGTTCAACAATGTTGTCGAGGACAAAGTTGGCTTTTGGAAGAACATATTTCGTGAAGTCTTCCCAAAGGCTTTTTTTGACATTTCCTTGGGACAAAATTGCGACTGCAGCTGTAGAAAGATCTTTCTGTTTTTTAATCAGTTCATTTCCTTTCACTTTCTCGAATTCAGAACAGAGATGAGAGTTAATGGTCCACTGCAATTCTCATATTTCTCCTCGCCTTATCAAATACTGTAATCGATTATTTTCATACAAACGATGCTTGCAATTGTTATTGCCCCTTACCTTAAGTATGTCACCTTCTTCCGTCATGTCAGCATATAAGAAGACATCATCTTAGACAGCGGCACAAAGTGATCGAAAATATTTTGAATAAGAGTTTCATAGATCTTTAGCCTCAAAATCATCAGGAAAAACCAGCCGTACCCTTTCTGTTTCATTTGCCCAAGTGTTTCCTGATGAGTCAACATAGGCTTTGGGTCGAATAACAACAAAGTGTCTATCATTTTCCATTCACAATTTTTCTCCCTTGTCAATAGCAACTGGTTTTTGCGTAAAAACTTGATGGGTGGAGGACGTTATGTACATTTTACTTTCTGGCCAGTCATATTTAGGGAGTTTTCGAGCGTTTTCTTCAGCAGATAAGGTTAGAATCCGTGAGTTTCTAGTTTTAGCGAAACCCTCTGAGGTTCCAGGCCTCAAATGCGCTTTGTCGTCTATTGATCGCATAAAACTTAGTTCGCGGATATTGTCTGGTGTGGATGAGCCAAAAAAAGTAGTCTTTATATTACGAACATGCGCACGTTGGTAATGGGTGTTTTCGTTCATTTGGTCTTCTGTCTTTGGTGGTTTTTTAGTACAAAATAAAGCATGTCCCTTGTGCTTTGCGCTTTGTATGCTTCTTTTATCTCGTGGCCTCGAACGATTCCAAGCAGTAACCGCTGATGAGATCGGTGCTTTACCGCGTTTTTCCAGGTCATAGTTTGCAATGTTTAACAAATCGCGGACCTTTACCCTTCTGTTGGTAAACATTACAGTTTCTTTGCGCCGACCATGATACGTTGCCTTTGATTCGATAGCTTTTGCAATAAACTCTTCACAAGCTTCGTCGACTTTTTCATTAGCCCCTGCTCCTAGGTGTCTTCTTCAAGAAGTTTGGTAGCTGTTCTTTTCTGCATCTGCTGAAGTCTCTGCTGTGAATATTTAGTCTCGCTGAGTTGGAGATTATGGAGCATTTTCTTTGCTTTTTCTGCATTTTCAATCCTGTCTTCCAATTCCTTCAAACGTTCACTAGTCCAAGTATTTCTCTTTTTGGATGGAGATCTTTCATGGAGACAATTTCCTGGGCAAGGTGTTTCACTTTAGAATCAATTCTCAAATTGACCATGTCTTTTGCTGCTAATTTTGCGTTCTCACATTCTTACACTCCATTCACAATCACTTTACTAGCACTGCGAACACTGTTTGCATCCAAACCGAGATTTTCTAGTTCAGAGTTCGATCTAGATGAGGTAAGGATTACACGCGCACATTTGCGATCCCATTTAGTATCCATAGACTCTAAAATCGCACTTGTGTTGCTAGCGTTTAGTGTAAGGCCCTTGTTTTCATCGACAATATCATCACTTGGTCGGTTGTGGTCTAAAAGTAACCACTGCAGCAAAGATTCTGTATGATGACTTCCATCAGGACGAATAGCAACAACATGAAAGTGATTAGGTTTGAACAAAACGTAAACGGGAAGCCCGTGCACAGGATGAAGAAGATGATCTCGAAATTCTAGCTTTCCTGCCAGCGTGTCCTGCCAATATGATTGATGCCCATCATAGGTTTCGAATGCTTCTTCAAAACTGATTGGGCTTTCTACAACAACCAAGAATTTAAGAAGTTCCAAGAGACCCTTGTATTTATCCACTTTCTGCCGATTCGGCTGCTTTTGCTGACTATATCTCTGAAGTTCATTCACAAGAAATTCCATGCTGGCACTTGGGCCAAGTTCCTGTAATGATTTTCTTAAGTAACCACCCTCAGAGGTTTCTTCCGTTTTGCTTTGTTTCCTAAAGGCAGAGCGAGTTGGCCAGGTATCCGTACACAACAAGGAGCTCCCAGTTTTTCTTTTATGGGGTCATTAGTGCAGAATGCTCAACGTTTTTGCACTGCAAAAACCACAGAAAAAGTCGCCACAGCTCCCCAAAACACGTTTCTACACGTATCAGTGCTTTGCCAAGAATGATCATCTCTATACAGAGATTTTTCCTCATAGAACCATAAACTACCACTAGACGTTTTCGTTGGTTGCATAAACGTGCGATTGATCTCTCTGAAGTAGCACCTAGCAATACGGGAAAACATTTGCAACACCATGTTGTTTTTAAACTGTTATCAGAAAACTTTCGCTTGTGTACATATTAACACATTGCGTGGGATCAGGCAAATCTTTAACAGAGTAACAAAAACATGTTCGGTTGTTCAGATATCAAACGTTGCATGATTTGCTGTCAAACTTCAAAGTTTACATGTCAGAAAGCGTTCCCCGCGAGCGGTCAAATGACTAGCCACTGGCCGTAACTAGTCACTTTGGCGCCAACCCCCCAGTCACGCGAACCATTGCCTGCATTCTTTCAAAAGACTGAACCTATAAAACCATGTTTTTCCTCACCATGTGTTCACGCTGTTGATAGATGGCTGTGTGTATGTAAAGTCAAACGCAGAATTCAGAAAGTCTTTGGTTAGCAAACTGCGATGGATGAAAGCCTTGAAACGTTTTTGAGCCGTTTAAATTTGTCTCGGTACCTCGATAATTTTCGAGTATCAGGAGTTGATGATCTGGAGACAGTAGTTACTCTGTCCGAGGAAGAAATAGAGAAACATGTGGGAATTGTGCTACCAGGCCACAAGCGTAAACTTGTTTTAAACTTTGAGAAGCGCCTAAAGCGGCCTCCACTAGTACACATCCTCAGAAAGAGAACTCCAGGCAAGCACGGCAGACCAAACTAACATTTCAGAGTGGTAGTTTATCCATGGTTTTGCAACCAGAACCTGCAGATCCAGACGTACCGTGGAAACGACTTCTTATCCCACATCCGAGATTTCCTCAGCAGAAGTTTTTTAACAGCCTTCTCCCACAAACCTATGAGTCCACCTATCCTCATTTGCTGACTCGCTTTGAAGCCTATTGGATCAAAGAAAGGCGGGAAAGGTGGGAAAGAAAAGAGATTTTGGAAAGTTTGAACGTTTCGGTGACGAGAATGATGGACATGTCAGAAAAGAACTACATGGCTCGTGGGAGAACTTTGCCAAATCCATCAAGGCCTTAAGATGCCACAACATGTATCTCTGCGATTAAAGAGATTGACTCCAAATTAAATCAACTGGCACAGGTTCACAAGTCATAAATGCACCAAAAGGAAGGATTCTTTGAACCATCAAGTGTCACATTAAAGTCATGGGCAAAGGAGCAGTTTGCCTATTCTCAAAAAACATTAGCTACAACCTCCGATCTGAAAGACAAATTTCAATCCCTGGAAGAAGAGATCTTAGAAACCCAAAAGAAGTTGGCCGATCAGCACAAATTCAGCCTTGCAAGTGCAGAAGCTAGGCGCAAACGGAAACGAAAACGCGACAATGCGAGTAAGACCAAACAACGCAAAATCTACGCCCAGCAAACCAGAACAAGAGATCTCCTTAAGTTGTTGTGTCAAGACGAAGAAGTCTTTACTGTGGTGGCTGACATTGATGACGGCGGCGAGTTGAAGTTAAAGAGGGCATTGGAATTGCAAGAAATAAATTTCTCTGTTTTGAGGACCTTGCAACCGC